ATCTAGAGTGTGTGATTGATTCCTGGTGAGGCTAGGCCTGAGGGCACTAGGTTTAAGGGCATGAGTGCTACCTGCCCTAAGTAGTCTGAATGCTGTTTAACTTCCTTGTTGCTTTTGCTGTCTTTTGCCCCCATGAACCCGCCACCATGATCTGTTTTTCCCCTGCCACCTTGCCTTGGAGCTAGCTTACACACTGAAACCTCTGTGAACTGTAAGCCAAATAAACCTCTCCCCCTTTAACTTTGGGTGTTGGGTATTTTGTCTCAGCAAGGAGAGAAATGTAACTTAACACACCTCCTAAAACTATTGACTAAAATAATACATATTTTTTTGTAAGTCCCTCTTGCAAGTTTTACCTATAAATAACATGAGGGAAGTCTCCAGTTTGTACCATGAGCAATAAATATTTGAAAAATGACAACTCATTGTCAGAGAATAGGTCGTTTTTTTGTTTTTTGTTTTTGAGTCGAGGTTTTTATATATAGCTATGGCTAGCTTTGAACTTATTATGTAGCCCAAATTGTCTTAAACTTGAGATTCTCCCATCTCAGGATCCTGATTGCTAGGATCACAGACATGTGTCACCCCCACTCCCGTGGTCTCACTTTGTAGTTCAGGTTGGCCTTGAACTTACTGTGTAACCCAGGCTGGCCTTGAAACCACAGAGATCCTTCTGCTTCAGATTCTGGAGTGTGCTTGGCTTTGTTTTTTAGTTCTTTACCTATAGCTTCCTCCACTTCAGTATCCAGCTGATCAGCTTTTTGGGTAGTTAGGGGTTTTTTGAGGCATGTTGTCACCTTGGTCTTGCATGTTCCTTTTGTTTTTGTGCTGCGGTTTGAAGATTGGCTAAGGGTAGATAAACCACGTTGTAGAGATCTCTTTAGTAATGCTGTCTCCCTGGGATGTGTCTTTGGGTTTGGCTATGTTTTTGTGTTTATATCCCTCTTCAGCCTACTCATTATAATAGACCCTGTTGCTATGTTGCAAAGAGAGAAGAATTTTTAGTTATGTCATCATCTACAAAACCAACCATATATCATTTATGTAATTTAAGACATGTTTGTCAGATTCACACTGCCCACCAATCCCCCCCTTCAGTAATCCAGGAATGCAATGGTTTGGTCTTGTTGACAAAAAAGGCTGGGATGTAGAGAATGAGGAAAGGACTGAGGAAGAAGAAAAGAGAAAATATAGTTTACTAAATAAGATACGTAGCCTCCTTTGCATTATACTGGAGGTGGGCAGCTGATTTGGTTAGTGTACCTGGCTACCTCCTGCTTTTATCAGCTGTCCCTCTTTATCTTGTTAATTGCTCTCTCCAGTAATATTTTAACTCTTTCTACCAGGATTTGCCAGAAAGCCTAATGAAGCCCTTATTTTATTCTTTCCCTGCCTACAGATCCTCTTTCATTTTTATATCTGGAATGTAGGTAGGGAAAGGATAGTGAGAGGTTATCTATGGGTAGGAGATGGAAAGGGGGAGGGGAGATATTGTTACTGGGTAGCCTGCTTCTAAAAGTGGCTCACCAACTAAAAATTACTGGGTTCTGGGTTGCTTGCCTCTCCAGAGTTAAATTCCAGGCTCTTCTTGCGTTGGTCAAAGAATTGAAGAACACAAGCAAAAAAACAAAACAAAACAAAACAACAACAACAAAAGCAACGACAAAGTTTATTCAACAAAGTAAAAATATAGAGTGGGGGAGAAACTGGCTCTGCAGCATGAGCTTGGGCCGAGTAAAAGAGAAATAGCAAAATAAAAGAATACTCCAGATGGCCAGGGATTTAGCTTCATGGCACCTTGCCTGCCTTGCAAGCACAAGGTCCTGAGTTCAATCCCTGGTACTGCAAAAACAAAACAAAACAAAAAAACCCCTGGAGAATGCAGTGTGGGCTGTCGTGAGGAAGAGCCACAATAGCAAGCTCTTCACTGTTTGCCTCTTCTTTTATGCTGTCCAAATCTTGAAACTCAGGAGAACTTCTATATACAGGTCCTGAGAGATGGTGCTTGCTGATGTCAAGTCTAGGCCATACTATTGAAAAGTGGCCCCAGTACTCACAGAAGTCCATGTAGGGCTTTGAGAACTGTTCTGCACATGTGTCAGATATCTTGTCATTAACAGGTCATACTCACTTTCCTAGCCAGCTTTGGCATGCCCTAATCTCCTGTCTCAGTATGATTTTTTTTTCTTTTATTGAGTTTATTGGTACATTTTAGGTATACAGTACAATTGCATTCATTGTTGGAATCTTGTGCCTTTACATGACAGGTCTTGGTTCAGTACGATTTGAGATACAGGAAGCTATAGAAGGGTTGAAATGGATTAACAGTATGTGGATGTTCTACACATTATTTTGTGGAGGCTATCTCATGACAATTAAAGAGTCTTTTTAAACTAATGCACTAATTCTGTTCCACTTACATAATAAAATATGATTCAGAAAAGCAAAAAAAAAGAAAAAGAGAATAAAAATAAAAACTACTACTAGCTCAAGGCCAGTCTGGGTTACATAGAGACTTTAAGGCCAGCCTGAGCTACAGAGCAAGACCTTGTCTCAAAAAAAACAACAGAATCTCAGTCTTTCACCTTAATGGCTTGGTACTCTCTTGGGCTTGCCTCCTACACTCTTGCTGTGTATCAGTAAACTCTTAACTTTTCTATATTCCTTGACTGTTGGTAAAGTATTTTTCCCTGCTGTGTCACTGGCCTCCTGTAGCATCATGTAGCTGAGCTTTCAGTGTAATTTCTCAAATTCAGGTACAAACTAATCTCTCAAAACTACCAACACTTTGAACTGCTCCTTGAGTCTTTCCTAGATTGCCTTTGGTTATCTCTCTAAATTTCCATTCCTAGACTCTGTCTATCCAAATATATTTTTCTTGCCTAAAGCGGCTGAATTGTGGGCCTTGCTTAGACAATGTGTTTTTCCCATAGACCTTTTTACCAAGATCAAGAATTTCTTCCTCAATTCTCAGTATTTTTCTTTCTTTTTAAAACACTCTATTACAGGTCGTTAGTCGTGTGTTAGTTGGTACATTAGCATTTCTAAAATCCACTTTAGTTTTTTTACTGTCAAGGAGACAATAAATTACAAAGGAGCTGGTTGTGCAACTCTGTAATCCCAGCACTGAGGAGCCTGAGACAGGAGGATCACTGTAAGTATGAGGACAGCCTAGGCTACATAGTGACTTCAAGGCTAGCCTTAACCTCATAGTGAGATTTTGTCTCAAACAAACATATATATACATACACACACTAAAAAAATTAAAATATTAAAGGGCAACAAGAGGTAAATCAGACAATAAAAGAAATTTATAAAGGAAAATTAAAAAAAAACAACAAAACAAATACACCGAAGTAGAGACTTCTCTCAGGGTTGGCAGGATTAGGTTAGATTTTAGCTGATGTCACTAGCAAGATGTTTTGTGTTTGACCTCTGATCAGAAACTTTCAGTTGGTTGGGAATAGAGTGGGAGCTGTGGAGCAGAATTGATCAAACACTTGGTCTTTCACTGACTTCTGGGTGAGCTCCTTCCTTTCCAACCCCTTCCCTCCTTGGTTGTCTCCCCAGCTGTTTTGAATCTACTCCCTCAGTTCCTCTGAGGTTGGGCAAGGCTTGCAACCCTTCTGTCTCTGTGCCCTCTGACAACACCTCTCATAGAATCTATTTAGGTCCAACTTCAGTGGGCACTGGAGCTTAGCAGGGTAGGGCTTTTCTGCATAGTACTCAGCAGAGTCTAGCAGCTGGTGAGAAGTTACTCTCCCAGGATTCTTGCTCATTGGTCTCTTTTTAGTTTTGATTTTTTGAGATGGGGTCTCAAAAAACATGTAGCTCAGCCTGACCTTGTACTCACTGTGTACCCCAGGCTGTCAACTCAGGGTGATCTGCCTACCTCAGCCTTTCAAGTATTGGTATTATAGGCATATTCCACCACACCCAGCATATTTTTCTTTTTAAAAAATTGCCTACTCTTTACTGGGTTTTAATCTCACCCTATTTCTGAGTACCTGCAGATCTGGGCGAATTACCTCCAAGTAACTCTTGAGTGCTGTTAATTGTAATGCTCTGTCACAAATCTGTAGATTCATTTCTTTTTCATTGAGTTTATTGGTACTTTTTTGTGGGGGAGTACTGGGGATTGAACTCGGGTCCTTGTGCAGGAGGCAGGCTCTGGAACCACTGAGCTAAATCCCTGGCCCTCTTGGTACTTTTTAAGTATATGGTACAGTTACACATTTATCATTGGGATCTTGTGCCTATATGACAGATCTTGGTTCTCATTTTTTCCCCATACCCCTGCCCTCCATTTACCCCTCCACCTTCCCCTGTTTACAAATACTTTGTTTCCATTTTTTCCTTTTCTCATATTTTTTATTTTCCCTTATTTCCTTTCCCCTACACTTCCCATTTCCTTTATACCTTTAGCCCTTTTCTTCCTATTTCACATTGTCAGTTTGCAGATTCATTTTTGAAGATTAAATTGTCTTATTTTTGCTTTATAGGAGGTGGGCGTGTGTGTGTTGTGTGTGTGTGTTCCTGTGGATTGAACCCAGGGTTTTAGAGCATGCTAAGCATATGCTTTACTACTGAGCTATGTTCCCAGCAAAATGGATTTCCAACTCATTTTGGTTATTATTTCTCTGACAAGTATATACATTTATATGTGTGTGTCACACACACAATATCAGTAATCTATTTTTTTTTTTTGTACTGGGGTTTGAACTTGGACCTTGTGCTTGCGAGGGAAGTGATGGAACTACTGAGCCAAATCCTTGGCCCCTTATTCAGGTATTTATTGGAAACATTTAATGACAATTTGCCACTCCTGTGTCACATTTGAACTTTATATGTAGCCCTTCAGGCTCTGTAACAGATATCAGTATAAATTCTGTACCTAATATGTTAATATAAGAGGATGGATATAAAAGGATCTTTCATTAAATTGTTGAGCTCACTTAGATGTTAAATAATAATTTTTACCATGTTTTGTATTTTTGTAGAGATTGCTACGGAAGGAAAAAGGCAAAAGTCTTCATCTTCTGATTTACATGAGGTATGCATTAGTTTTGCTTTTAACCTATTGGAATTATGGGATTTTGAAAATATTTTGCAGTTTTTCTTTTTTACTAAAGTTTTAAAATAGTGTAAAATTTAAAATTATGTGTTGGGAAAATGTTAAGTTCTAATTAATGCATGGTTAACTAAGAATCTCTTCTGGGAACCAACCTTTAAAAATATTTATATTTATATTTATATTTGTATTTGTGGTGCTGGGGTCAAACCTAGGCCATGTACATGCTAGGACAGTGCTTTACTCCTGAGCTATACCCAATGCCACCCTTTAAAAAAATCATTATAAGATGACCAGCATACTTTCCAGTCCTCATTTTAGATTTTATATAAAACATAGCTCACAGTCTCTTTCATAACTGAATATATTAAGTATGCCATAATGTATATACATGTGTGAAGAATAATATTTATGGCATATATTGAAAGTTACTACTTGGAATATATCCTTTTAAACTTGTTTTCACTAATTTTTTCTTTTCTGTAAGGGAAGCAAATCAATCAAAATGAAATTTTTGCTTATGTAGCAAGTGTTTTAAAACAATTTATCATTTTTTAGAAAGATAGTCTTTTCTTCCCTAGAATTTTGTGATTTAAATGGAGTAATGCCCTGCTTTGTATCATAATAATTTACTAGATGTTTTTCTTGGAAATATTTATGCACGGAGACCTTTAATTTGGACCATTTTTATGTTATACAGTTACATAATTTAACAAAGAGGGAAGAAATTACAAAGGAGGTAGTGAATGAAATCAAGAGTACCTTAGAAAAACCACATAGAAAACATATAGGTGTAGGTATTGTTTTTCTTTCTTCTACTAAAAATTTGCAAGGTGTGGTTTGTCCATTTAAATTTTTTTGTTTTTGTTTTTTTTGAGACAAGGTCTCACTATGTAGTTGAGATTGACCTGGAATTCATTATGTAGCCCGGGCTCGTTGGAACTCACAGTGATCCTCCTGCCTCAGCCTCCCAAGTGCTGGGATTACAGCTGAGTCAACATGCCCAGCCTGTCCATTTAAATTTTAGTTTAAGTGGAGTGAAAAAAGTAAAAAAAATTTTACGCTGCTGGACTAAATGCTATCATATATATTATCTTAGTTCATTTTCTGTTGCTGTTAACAGAATACATGAGACTGGTAATGTATAAAAAATGTATTTTTTCTGAGTTGTGGAAGGCAGGAAGTCACTGGCATCTGTTCAGCTTCTGGTGAGGGGCCTCATGGCAGAAAATAAAAGAGCAGGTGGGTTGATGAGAGAGGCATGTACATGACAGAAAGTGAGGGAAGATGGTACCACTGAGCTAAGTCCCTGGCTCTGATCCTGTGATTTTTTGTCCTTGCTTGTGTTTATGTGATGTATTATATTTATTGATTTGCATATTTTGAATCATTCATGTGTTCCTGGGATGAAGCCACCACCAGTTTCGCTACCTGTTCTTTTGAGAGCTGACCCAGTCTCTGATAAGGATGTTAATCTATTTGTAAGGGTAGAGTGCCTATGACCTTTTAAAGTCCCTGCTTCCCAATACCTTTATATTTGGCAATCAAATTTCAATATGAGTTTTAGTGGGGACAAACCACATATAAACTAGCAACCAGTTTTCATTACCTCATTACTCACTTGGGAAGCTGAGGCAGGAGAATTGCCACAAGTTTGAGACTGATCTGGACTTACATAGGGAGTTTGAGCCCAGCCTGGACTGCACAGCAAGGCCTTATCTCAAAAAGCTAAAAATAAATAAGTCAGCAAGTCAGTCAGTCAATATTGACCACTCCTGCTTTTAATATCTGCTGTTAAGCAAAGTGCTCTGCTTTCGGCTGTTGTGTCTTTAATGCAATTAATCTAAAATTCTACAATTGTAATTTATAACATTGAAGCCAGGCACAAGAGTGTGTGCCTTTAATTCCAACTGCTTGAGAGTATGTCTTAAGTTTGTCTAAAAGTTTTGAGACCAGCCTGGGGAATAATAGACCTAATCTCTTAAGAAAGAAAAAAATAGGTGTCGGGGATTTAGCTCAGTGGTTCGGTGGCCTGCCTGGCAAACGCAAGGACCTGAGTTCAATTCCTGGTACCAAGAAAGAAAGAAAGAAAGAAAAAGTATTCGTAATATTGAGATAATTTCTTTTATTCTTTTTCCTTCCCTTTCCTTTTATTTGTTTCCTTACCCTTCTCTCCCTACATTCTTTCCTTTCTTTTGTATGTTTATCTTCCTCCCTCTTTCACTTCATTTCCTTTCCTCCCTTCCTCCCTCACTTCCTTTCTTTCCTTTCTTTCTTTTGTATAGTAATATCTTTCATATACTGTATATATTTTTGTTGTTCTTAAAAAAATTTTTTTTTTTGAGACATTCTCACTTTGTAGCTCAGATTGGCCTTAAACTCTCAGAGATTCTCCTGCCTCAATCTCCTGAGTGCCGTGATTGCACCGCCACACTGGCTTATGTTTTATCTCCTTTTTTTTCTTTTGCCTCTCTTTCCTTCCTCTCCTCATTCCCTCCCTCTCCCTTTCTTTTGTCCCTCTCTGTGTTTTCTTTCCTCCCTTTGTTTTCCATCCATCCCACCTTCCCTTCCTTTATCTTTCATATCATTTTTATTTTTATATTTATTTCCTTCCTTTTTCTTTTTGTGGCACTGGGGATTGAGCTCGGGCCCTTGCCGTTTGCAAGGCAAGCGCTGGAACCACTGAGCTAAATCCCTAGCCCTGTTTGTTTGTTTTGAGATAGCATCTTGCTGCATACTCCAGGCTGGCCTTGAACTCACTATGTAGCCCAGGATGTCATCGAACTTGCCTCAAGTACCATGCATTTTTATCAATGTAGCTTTGTAGTGTATCATGAAGTCTGAGATTATGATGCTTCCTGCTTTGTTTTTGTTGTGCAGGATTGCTTTTGCTGTTCTGGGTCTCTTCTGGTTTTATATATAGTCCCTTCTAGTCCTAGGAGGAGCACTGTTGGTATTTCCATTAAAACAACATATGAGTTTTGGTAATAAGGCCATTCGGACAATATTGTTTCTTCCTGTCCAGGAATAGGGGCTATTGTTCCATTTTCTGATGTCTTCTTTTATTTTTTTTTGATGATGTTTTCTTTGTTTGTTTGTTTGTTTTTTTGTTTTTGTTTTTGTTTTTTTTGGTTTTTTGAGACAGGGTCTCACTATGTGATTGAGACTGACCTGGAACTCACTATGTAGCTCAGGCTGGTCTCGAACTCACAGCGATCCTCCTGCCTCAGCCTCCTGAGTGCTGGGATTACAGGTGTGCACCGCCATGCCCGGCTTGTTTGTTTGTTTGTTTGTTTTTTTTTGAGGCAGGTTCTCACCATGTAATCCATGGCTGTCCTGTCCTTGAACTCACTATATAATCAGGGTGGTTTTGAACTCACAGTGATCATGCCTCACCGTCAGGTGTGCTGGAATTATAAGCATGCACTGCCAAGCCTGATTATTTTTTCACAATACTATTATTTTTGTTGTAGAAGTCTTTTATTTCCTTGGTTAGGTTAATTCCTGTTTAATTTTTCTTGTTTCTATTATGAAGGATATTATGGCTTTGCTAATTTCCTTTTTGGTGAGTTCATACAGAAACACTTGATTTTTGTGTTTTTTATTTTCTATGCGGTATATTATTGAATTTGTTTATTAGTTTTATGAGTCTTGGGAGTTTTTTGGATTTTTTTTGTGTAGGGGATCATGTCATCTTCAAATAATGACAATTTGACTTCTTCCTTTCCATTAAGTATCCCTTTTATTTCTTTCTCTTGCATGATTGCTCTAACATTTTGAGTGCTATATAGAACAGGAGTGGTGACAGTGGACATCCTTGTGTTGTTCTTGATTTAAAGTGAAAGCTTTTAGTTTTCCCCCATTTAATATGGTTGGTAGTAGGTTTGTCATAAGTGGCTTTTTTCAGGTTGAGATAAGGTCTTTATTTTTTTTTTAGGCATGTCAAATATTT